TGCTTTGTTCATGTTTTGTTCTATGTAACTTTTTATTTTGGAAATTTTCAAACATGTACAGAAGTAGAGAGAAAGGTATAATAGATCCCCATACACCCACCATAGAGGCTTTAACAGTGATCAACTCATGGTCAACTTTGTTTCATCTGTATATTCCACCCCTCCCCCATGTTAGGCTCTCATTTTGTCATGTTGACAGCCATTGATGACCGTTGTCCAAGTCCATGATTTCATTAGGGGTGTAAAGTGGTAATATTCCAATTCTATTGTTCCTTTTTTATTTATTATTTGGATTACTACTATAAAGGGAAACTTGCCCTCATTAATTATTTGGTTACTCTGAGGTCTATTTTGCAGAGAAAAAGCAAGATAAATAATTGAATCCCTTTATTTACTAGTTTTTAATACAACATTTCTCCTTTTTCTTGAACATGTAATTTGTATTTTTATTAAAGTAATACATGTCCATAGTTTAAAAGTGAAATAGAATATAGCCTCGGCTGGTATGGCTTGGTTGGAGCGGTGTCCCAAAGGCTGCAGGCTCCATTCCGGGTCAGGGCACATTTGATCACCAGTTGGGGCGCATGTGGAAGGCAACCAGCCGATGTTTCTTTCTCCCTCCCTTTCTCTCTCTCTCTCTAAAAGCAATGACAAAATGTCCTCAGGAGAGGATTTAAACATTTTTTTTTTTAGCGAAATAGAATTTTAGAAAGCTTCTAATGAAAAAAAAGTAGCACTTTAATTGTCCCCCATTCCCACCTCTGATTCCTGTTCCACAGTGGTAACTTTCATCCACTCTTGGCTGTTTCTCCTAACATCTCTTATTTTCTTCTCAACTTACGAATAAAACTGTTATACGTCCATTTTACCTTTTCCCCATTTTGCATATTATCTATTCCTACCGTGGAAGATGTCTGTCTTTCGTTTTGTCTGTCTCTCTTTCTACCCAAATTTCTTCTCTTTGCCTTGAGTAAGGCCATAGCTATAGAATTCAGTCCTTGTCCCTCTGCTCCTTTTCTCTGCATTCCTACTACCCACAGTGCCTTGGTGCCATGGGCCCCAGTTTAGCCCTAATCCACCATCTGATCGGTCTGTTGGGCATTTCCACCTCAATTTACTGCTGCCTTCTTCAGTGCACCATGCTCCAAAGCAGGCTCCTCATGAGTAGTGATGGTCGTAGGAGCTCTGAGGAGGGAAGGTCAGAGTGGGCATGTGGTGACAAAAGCTCCATACAAGGCCTGTGGCTCAAGCTGGTGGCTTGGAAGCATCAGAGGAATGGCAGGGGTTACCGAAGGTGGGAAGTTCATAATTTCTTGGGGGAGTTGTGGGGGAAATAGCCAGACCAAAGCAGAAGCTCCCTTTGTGTGTAGTGTGCACATGTGTGTGCATGGACGCACACACGCACATACACGTCTGCAGTGGGGGTTGGGGACTGCAGAGGAGTTAGCAGGTGAAGGGCACTGAACACTAGTCCACAGATTTGAGGCTTTCTCTCACGAGTGGTGGGATAGCATGTAAGAATGGAAGGGGAACAATGGGAGGTGGTCATGGAGTTTGATCCAGTTAACAGTGGTCAGGATGTAAGGGAGGTGAGGAGATACAACATTAGAAGGATCTAGCTCTTGGTAGTTGTGGTGATAACAGAGCAAAAGGTACAGGGACAGTGTGCCCACCATGTGAACCAAACACTGTGCAAAGCACCCTGATGCCCTGCCCCTCTGTCTGGTGACTGCGCTGTTAGGCGCCTGCTCTGGCATTCCACCACATACAGCAATGTGATGTCCCAGAGAAAAAGACTGTCTCATCATGTGGCCTTGCATTTCCTGAGTCTTGAGTGCACAGGTTCCTTACCAATATCAGTTGACAGAGGAAGGAGGGGGTTCTGATTTTCAGGAAAGAGAGAAAGCATTTGGATTTAGACAGGCTATTGCCGGGATGTGTACCAAAAACCACACGGGCTCTACCCTCACCCCCATGTCTGGACTCCAGGCCCCTTCCTTTCTTTGGGCTTGCTGGCATCTAGGCTCCTTTTCTTTACAGACCTGCCACTACATGCCCCATTTCTTGGGGTTATTCTCCTCCAAGATGGGCTGTAGGTACCCCCCACACACACCTTTTTTCACTGTCTTCCCCTCCTCCAAAAAACAAAATCTATCAGACCAAAGAAACCAAACTAGCACGTGGGCCTTTTCTTGCTTAACGGATTATACTGCTCTGGGGTAATGCATGTGGGCTGTCAGAATACTCAGTGGAAGGACATCTCAAAGGTTCCTGAATCTCAGAAAGGTATAGTCTTTGTTCCTGAACTGCACGCCGCAGATCCTGCCTTGCTTTCATAGATAACAGCCAGAAGATTGTATGGTGCCCCTTTCCTTAGCCTCTCCCTAACATTTGCTTTTGAACATTGGTCATGGTAAGGGTATCTCTTTTTTCCTATTAAGGTTCCTATAGAAGAAAATTAACCTGGAGGACTTTCATTCTCTGACTCAAGTTAGGGAGAGAAGGATAATCCCAGGGCAATTGTTCATAATCTTTTCAGGGTCCAGACCTTTTGAAAAACCCAATAAAAGTGATGGCATCTCTCCTCAGAAAATGCCTGAGCCCAAACAACTTTGCATACAGTTCTCTCCTTAGGTTTTATGGATGCCAGATTAAACTCCTCAGATTTAGAAGAGCAACAGAACTTGACAAGTCCCTAACAGATAAGCCCCTTTTACTTTCTCCCTATCACCACAGCTCCTGCCTGAAGAGTCATTAAGTCTCTTTTTTCAAGAATGTCATAAACAAGCTACACAAGGCTTCGAACTTCACATGCCACGGGGTCGGTACTGGCGACATCCTCTTTGTCTTGGTAACTCCTTATTCCAGCTTCCTCAGGGTTCCCAGGGGGGTAAGAATATCCTGAGCCCTCCAATTCCTGGTTGCACTCCTCTCCATCCTTGTCCTCATTCCCTGTGCCCCTCCCCCTGACCCACCACTGGAAATCCTACTCTCTTACCCTAATCACTCCATTAGGTGCTCAGTGGATCTCAGCATTCTTATATCCTGTCCTTTCTCTTCTGTCACTCCAGAACTCCCCAGCATTCCTAGTGAATATTCTCAGTTGGTGGTTCACACTGTACTGGAGCCTGTGTTGCAAGGATTGCAGGGTTTGCCACCCCCAGCCCAGGCCCCTGTCCTTGGCCAGGTGTTGACAGCCATTCTGGGTGCCTGGCTTGACCACATCCTCACCCACAGGATTCGATTCAGGTGGGGAGAAACGAAGGTGGTGGCAGGGGGATGAATGGAACTAGAAAAGGGGAGAGGATGGGTGTGGCAGAGTAGTTTAGGGAGACCACAAGATCAGGTAACCGAATTGTACCTCGGCCTTCAGCTTGCATGGAGCATTGCAGCTCAGACAAGATTTTGGAGTGGTCCGGGAGTTGCTGGAAGAAGAGCGGTGGGGCCTGTCACCTGAAATTCGCCAGACTCTGCTCATGCTCAACATCTTCCAGCGGCTGGATGGGGCCCTGCTGTGTCTATTGCAGCAGCCCCTGCCCAAGACTCAAGTCCACAGAAGGCCTCCCTGTTGCTGTGAGTCATTCCCCCTTCTCAACTCCAGACTCTTTCTGCCCTAGCTCACTACTTTAAGTGCCCCATCCCCCATTCTCATCATTGATCTGGATTCATCCACCCCCCAACAGCCACATGCCTTCCACTCCTGCCTTACCAGGTGCATGTAATGAGGTCCAGACCTCGGAATTACCCAGCAGCAGCCTCAACAGCCTGGAGAGCTTGGAGCCCCCTCTTCGGACTGGAGCACCTCCAGCTCAGACAGCTCAACTGCAAAGTACACTGTGGGGTGGGGGACCTAGCCCCCAGGCTTACCTGGTGGGAAATCAGCAGGCCTGGCTTGCCCTGAGGCAGCACCAGCACCGCCCACGTTGGCACTTGCCTTTTCTTTCCTGCCTGGGGACCAGCCCTGAATCCTAAGGAGTCTAATCAGCAGCCAGAAAGTCAGTGTTCTGCATTTCTGTCTGGGCTTTCCCAGACATTTGGAATTGCATTTTAAAGAAACCTACAATTGGAAGCTTGGAAGAAAGCATACCTAAGAAGCACAAACTATACAGAGCCTGGACTTACAAGCTAAGAATCCAAGATCACTCCAGTACCTGCGATCCAGAGTAAATGGCAACACCACAGCCTGGAACCTGGAGGCCAGCATCTCTGGAGGCTTAGGCCTAATTCCCCATCAGTGAAGACATCTCAGGGCTAGACGCTGGAAGGAAGGGCTATAGGGTTGCACTCCAGAGGAGAGGGAAAGAGAAAAAGCAGCAGAAAGCAGAGAGCCTAGATGCCACTTCTTAAGTTCCCAGAACCAGGATAAACACAAAGTTAATTTATCAGGAACCAGAGGCGAAATAGTAATTTCTACAGCTAGATCAGTCCCAAGGGCTGTATAACCCTGCACTTTTCTCCGCATTACTACTTTCAGCTATTGAAGTATATTGGGCTGTAGGACCTTCACATTTAAGCTTTGGTTACTAAGAGTTCAACATATTTAATCGTCAGTTACCTGAGTGGGGTTTATCCCCTGGTAGGGGCATAATCGCTGTGCTGGTGATGGTGTCTTCTTGGAAGGGACCAGCAAATAACATGGCGTTAACCTAGATCAGGCACAGCAGGGAAGGTAAGGGGATTCTGCTGCAGAAGACGGACGCGTGATTATCGGAGCCAGGTGCAGGCAGCTTTTACACTGTATGTATTGCCTTTACTATGGTACAACAGGACCACGAATGATAGGCAGTATTTGCTGATCGCTTACTTTGGGCAACTCTATACCCTGTGCCGAAACAAGCTCTCCACCGGGGCCTGTCTCCTCGTCTGGCGCTGGGGAGCCCACGCCTGCAATTCCTGGAGGTCCGCGGCTTGCAGTCCGTACTCAGCGGAAACTGGGGGGCGGGACCTGAGGCATCGCGGCCACTCACAGCCACTTTCAAAGACTACAAGTCTGTTAGGCGAGTGCTTCCGGGGCGGGCGTTACCATGGCGGCGGCCTTGGCTCGGCTAGGCCTCCGGACTGTCAAAGAGGTTCGGGTTCAATTCTGTCCTTTCGAGAAGAACGTGGAGTCAACGAGGTACGAGGGGAAGAGAGTGGGGACAGAGAGGGACGCGCTTCCCTCCCGCCGCGGCGCCCACCATCCTCGGCCCGACGCTAACGCCACTTTCCCGCCGTAGGACCTTTCTCCAGGCAGTGAGCAGCGAGAAGGTCCGCTCCACCAACTTTAACTGCTTAGTGACTGCAGATGTGAGGCACGACGGCTCCGAGCCCTGTGTGGACGTGCTTTTCGGTGGGCACGCTTGGGGTGTCAGGCGGGAGGGGCAGCAGGCAGCCCGCACCCCCAAGGCACCGTTGTCCCTGTACCTGATTCTTTCGTTTCTTCCCCAGGAGACGGACATCGCCTGATTATGCGCGGCGCCCACCTCACCGCCCAAGAAATGCTCACTGCGTTTGCCTCCCACATCCAGGCCAGGGCCGCGGCAGAGAGTGGGGACAAGCCTGTAGCTGGTGCTGGGCGCTGACAGCGCGTAAGAGACCAACAAGCAGATTTTAGCTTGGGACTTACTAGGACACTTATCCAAGAAAAGCTTAACTTAATCACTCAAATCATTATCTTCAAGGCCACAGAGAGCCCTCCTCGCCCCCCCGCGTCACCGCCCCCCCCCCAAAAAAAAAGAGTCCTGTGACTACAGATCTAACCAGTGCTTCTAGGGTATGTCGGGATGTGGGAGGGAACAAGTCGGGATGCGGGATGTGGGCAAACTTAAATTTATTGCGATTTCTAACTATCACTCACTGCTTAACCGTTTGAATTTTACTTCTCGACCACTCACTCACTCAAGGTACCTCTTAAACTTATTAGCTAAATCCAGTGCTGTTTTCTCAGTCCTCATCCTTCCATCTCAGTACCACTTGCCTGTAGAACTTTTTCTTCCTTTTTCTTCTCTTAACCATAAAGGTACACTTTTTCTTTTCTGTCTTTGGGGCATCTCATCTTCTGACATAACTTGAACTGCCCTCTTAGGTTAAACCCTGCATTTCTGTTTGGATCTAATCTCAACTTCTGTGCTATAGTCAGGTACTCCTGATTTTCTCCAAATCCCACCAACATTCTTTATCCAAAATAATGATAATCTCACATACACATATATTTGCCTCTCCTCCTGACTTCCCCATTCCTTTTAAAGACACTTAATCTACTTCTTCCACCTTGGCTGGAAACCACAACATTACCTCTAGTTCTGCCCTCTCCTTTTCCCTCATATCCAGTTGGAAAGTTCAGAATATTCTATCTTAAACTAAAGCTCCTGAAATGTTCTCTTCATTCCCTTTTACTCTCCTGTACTGTTACATTTTCCTTCCCTATCTCCTTTTTTCTCATCATTTTTGCTGCTGCTTAATTTTGCCTTTCCAAAGCATATCACTGGTTACGTCTCACTACTACTTGTTTCAGGAAACAGTGCCAAAAGTTCTTTTCATACTGAGTTACCAGTGGATCATAAAATCAATTAGGGGGTTAAATCAGCCTTTCATAAACAAAGTAAAATATAATAAAAAGTATCAGTGCATGGCACATGGAATGGGAAGTATTATTTTAAGAAACTTGTTGTTTGGAATATAATTGTACACATGTATATAACCTATATATGTGTATACATAGATATATATTACATAAAGTACGTGTGCATGTGTTGTATCTGCATGTACTTGGTTGCAATACAGATTCTTTTTAATGTGGGTTATAAGAAAAGATGGTTGCTAGCCACTGGTTTAGAGAACTTTAGAATGTTCTGCCAGGCAATCAAGGATCTCTCCAGACACTGCCAGCTGGGTGCTTTGCCAAAAACATTTTCCATGACTCTCCTACAACATTACTATACTGCTTCTATACCTAAAAGTGTGCTATATTAAAAGGGCTGTTTTCCCCCTCCCCCTTCAAAAAACCAAAACTACCATGAGGCAGTATAGTGTAGTAAAAATCCAGGATGCCTGAAGTTGATGTAACTTTGGAAAAATTAGTCTCTCAGTGCCTCTTTTCTCATTTGTAAAATGAGGACAACAGAATCTACCTTGTAAGACTGTTGAGAAGATTAAATGAATTGACATCTGTTAAATACCTAAAGCATTACTGGGAATGAAATGTTATATATAAGTGGCCTTATTGTTCTACTTTGTGTACAGCATAAAGAGGCAGGGTTGTTTGGAAAAGACATTAATGCTGAGAAAAATAGAAGCAGCAGGAAAATAGAAGACAAAATATGAGGTGGATTGACTATTAAAAAGCCATAGGCACGAGTTTACAGGAGATGAGCAGTGCTGTTGAGGATAGGACATAGGGGACAAAATTCCTTCATGGCTTGCCAAGAATCTAAGCCGACTCAATGGTATATAATACACAAGAAGCTTTATGCTATAGTCAAAGTTACAACCTAGAATTTGAATTCTCTAGCTCTGTGGTTAATTGGCTATTACCTTTTGCCAGACTTAACCACTTCTCATTTGTAAAATGGAGATGGTGCAAACATTGCTGTAAATGCAAACTTGAGGTTGTTTTCTCTGTCGCCAGCACCTTACATAGTGCCTGGAACTGTGCAATAAACATTTGTTGAATTTACAAATATTTAGCACCTACCTTGCACCTCTTTCATTAGTACCAAGATACAAAGATGAATAATAAAATTCAGATATGTCATAAGTGCTACAATAGAGATGCTACCACCAGGTGTGATGCTAGCAAGAAAGACAGGAGTGACTGTTGGGTTTGGTTAGAAGGTAATTGTTGAGTGAGCAAAAAATCTACATTGGAGGGTGGGGCCAGAAGTCAGATTATAGAGAAATAGGAAGTGGGCCTGCAGCATAAAGTATTTTATATATAATGATTTGGATGGGAGGTGTGGTAATAGCTAGAGTAGCATAAGGGTGTGGAATAGGGTTTTTTAAAAGATGACAGGGATTTGTACTTTATGGAAATACCTTTTGTGGAAATGAGACTACTTCATGAGTGACCATGGCCCCCTGGCCAGCTAGATCCTGGTCAAAACATTACTTACCAAAAATCTCCCAGGGACTGATCAACCTGTCCACTATGCCCCAGACGTGCCAATTCCAGGAACAGAATGCACTGTTGCCCTGCTCCAGACAAGGCATTTTCCCCTTCTTTGGGGTGGGTCACACCCCTTAGGGCCTGCCAAGTGGCACAGAGGATATTTCATGTCTTGCTGCCACCCAAGATACACCTCATATAAATTCCCTTAATAAACTCTGTAATGATGGAGTTGTCAGCCTTTTTTTCCCAGTTTCTCAGCCCCAGGGGATTTTAAAGCCTTTTTATGCTGAGCTGTTGGTTACAAATAACTGAATGAATCTAAGTTGCATTCTCAACAACCATAAAAAGTAATGTTGACTCTTCTAGGTCAAATTGAGGTGCTCCTTCCTAAAGCCTTCCATAACAGGATGTAAGTGATCCTTTCCTTAAGCTCCTTTGCTTCCTGGGTTGTGGAAAAGAAAATAAATAAATAAGCATTTTCTAAGTTCATGCACAACCATTATGGTTCTTTTAGGGTTCATCTAGATAAGGAATCCTAGCCTGAGTGAAGATGAGACGTCTAAAGTCACGGTCCCTAAAAGACACTGCTGCAACAGATCTCAGGCTTCCCCTTAGGTCCACTCCAGCACCCTCCCTTTCACTAGGAACCTGGATTCCGAGCTAACCACTTTCTGTCTCTGACCAGGGCCAAATTACTTGAACTTTCTAAGCCACAGTTTTCAGCCACCAGACTGGGCCATGGTGGTGAAACCAAGGGTCCTTATGACTGATTGAGTTTTAAATCATAGCCCTAGAAATCAGTCTACCTCCACACATACACCTCTCAGAGACTTAACCATTCCCCCATTATCAGTGACCCCCCACCCCCCCAGGTAGCAAAAGACCGTAACCCAAATGACTAATGGTCCCATGGTCCGGACCTCTGGCAAGCTAGATAGCATCTTGACCTAAGTTGTTTCAGTTCCTGGGCCCAAAGGTGGGGGTACCCACCCACAACTACTTTCCCATGAAACCAGACACGGGGAGGCGGAAACACACCCCAGACCTATCCTCAAGACCTGAAGAAATGATTCATTAGCCTTAGCTCACCAATAAGCTCCCAGCAGGATCCAGAACCCCTAACCGACGGTGTCCTGTGATTCTGCTCTGTATAATCTGTAACCTACCCGCCATGCCATTGGGGTGTTCCGACTTTTGAGTAATAACTTCCCAGTTCTCCTGGATGGGACCCTTAATAAAGCGACCAATAGCCCTGGTTGGTGTAGCTCAGTGGATTGAGCACAGGCTGTGAACCAAAGGGTCACTGGTTCAATTCCAGTCAGGGCACATGCTTGGGTTGTGGGCCAGGTCCCTACTTGGGCCTGTGTAAGAGGCAACCACACAGTAATGTTTCTCTCCCCTTCTCCTTCCCTTCCTCTCTCTTAAATAAATAAATAAATAAATAAATAAATAAATAAATAAATAAATAAAATCTTTTTTAAAAAGCCAGTTTCTCCACTGCAATTCTTGGTACTTAGCGTTTAACTCCGCTAGCGCCATGTGGACGAATTCCGTTGTGCTGCAGTGGAGGTAGTGTTAATTGTAAATCACTCGGTATGGCGTCTCAGGTATATGTAATATACATATTTTAGAATAGCCTAATGTTAGATTGTTTTCTCGACTAGCCCGTGGACTCCGCGAGGACACCAAATAAACGCTAAACGCGACCCAAGCAGCCCAACGCGGATGACGAGCCCTGCACCACGCGTCGAAACCGGTTCCGGCCTAGGCGACTTAACCTGACGTGGCGGGGCGGGACTTCCGGGGAGATGCGGAAGCGTAGCAGAAGGCGCCAGCGGGCTTGTGCGACTGACAGATCAGTGGTCGCAGGGACGCTACTCCCGAGCTAGGGAGCCAAGGCAGAGTCCGGGCTCCTTTACCGCCTCTCGGAGCTCCCGCGACGCCGACCTCCGTGCCAGGATGGCTCGGGGCGAGCGGCGGCGCCGCGGAGCGCCGACAAATGGAGGGCGGACGGCTGAGGGGGCGGCTCGGGGCGGCCCTACGCGACGGGAAAGGCGGGCTGGCGTGGCCCGTGGCACTGTCGGGGGAGCCGTTCTAGCCATCGTGGTCCTGCCTCTGGCCCTGACCCTGTCAGGAAGCTGGCTGCTGGCGTGGCACCGTGCGCGGCGGGCAGTCACGCTGCACTCTGCGCCCCCAGCGCTGCCTCCGGACTCTTCAAGTCCCGCCGTGGCTCCGGACCTTTTCTGGGGCACCTACCGCCCACACGTCTACTTCGGCATGAAGACCCGCAGCCCTCAGCCCCTCCTCACCGGTAACCGGGCTCGAGCGGGCAGGCAGGCGAAGTCTTAATTTGGGCGCCCCAGTTTCACTCCAGAGTAGGGGTGGGGAGGAGTGGATTAGGAGAGTTATGAAGAGGGATGACCCTGAAGTTCTCGTAGACCCAGAGGGACAGGATCCCTGCTCTGTCTTCGACTTACGTGGCCATTCTACCCCCAGGACTAATGTGGGCACAGCAAGGCGCCGCCTCAGGGACCCCTAGGCTCAGGCACACGTGTGAACAGGGGGACGGCGTGGGTCCCTATGGCTGGGAGTTTCACGACGGTCTCTCCTTCGGGCGGCAACACATCCAGGATGGGGCCTTAAGGCTCACCACTGAATTCGTCAAGAGACCTGGGGGTCTGCACGGAGGGGACTGGACCTGGAGAGTGACTGTAGAGCCTCAGGTCAGGGCCTCAGGACACCCTACCCCCAGCCCAGACTCACTCCACCCTTCCTTTGCTGCGGGCAAATGCAGTTTGAAGTAACAGCAGGAGCTCTGAGTTTGGCTGCCTGGTTTGAATCTGACTGCCTGCCTCAAATACTCGCCTATATGACCACCTCTATTTACTCTCTCTAAGCCTTGTTTTCCTTTTCTGTAAAATAGAAATAAATATAGCACCTAACTCACATGATTGTAAGAATTAAAGGAAATAATATGTAGAGTTCTTAGCATAATACATGGCACAGGAATACTCTTACTTCCCAGAGAACCCTGTGCAAGGATCTTTCATCCCATTGGGTGCTTACCCTGAGTGACCCTCAACACTGCCAGTTATATGTTGTTTCTCATGTTGCTTCTACCTGGTGCCCCTTTCTCTCACTAAGTCTGATTCTCAAGAGAGGATGTCAATCTAATACTGTGCTTTTCTGTCCTCCTTGGTCATCTAGACCTCAGGTACCTCTTCCTTCCCTTTGGTGTCCCTGTTCTTCTATGTGGTGACAGATGGCAAGGAAGTCCTAGTGCCAGAGGTTGGGGCTAAGGGGCAATTGAAATTCATCAGTGGACACTCCAGTGAACTTGGGGACTTCCGTTTTACACTTCTGGCACCAACCAGTCCAGGAGATACTGCTCCCAAGTATGGCAGGTAATTGGAGGGAGAATGTGGGATGTTGGTAGGGGTGGTATGGATGCTGACTTAACCTGATTTCTATCTCCTCCTCCACTCTACCTCTTCCCACCAGTGTTTCCCTTCTCACCAGGCTCCATGTTCTCTATATTGCTGGGATCTTCCCATCTTGACTCCCGGTCACCTCATGTTTCTCTTTATAATCTCTTCCAATTTCTCTCAAATAATAATTCCTATTTATTTTCTTCCCTTCAAGCTACAATGTCTTCTGGTCCTCCAACCCAGGACTTCCCTTGCTGACAGAGATGGTGAAGAGTCGCCTAAATAGCTGGTTTCAGCATCGGCCCCCAGGAGCCTCCCCTGATCGCTACCTTGGCCTGCCAGGATCTCTGAAGTGGGAGGACAGAGGCCCAAGTGGGCAAGGACAGGGACAAGGGCAATTCTTGATACAACAGGTGACACTGAGAGTCCCTTTTTCTGTGGAGCTGGTGTTTGAATCAGGCAGTGCCCAGGCAGGAGGAAACCAAGCCCTGGGACAGCTGTCAGGCAGCCAGCTGACTCAGGCCCTGGAGACCCATGCTAAAGCCTTTAGAGCACGCTTTGAAAAGACCTTCCGGTTGCAGGAGAAGGGCCTGAGCCCTGAGGAGCAATCTTTGGGTCAGGCTGCCCTCAGTGGCCTCCTTGGTGGGATTGGCTACTTCTATGGACAGGGTCTTGTGTTGCCAGATATAAGGGATGAGGGATCTGAGCAGAAGGTGGCCCCGGCCCTCTTTCCGCCTGTCCCTCTTTTCACAGCAGTGCCCTCCAGGTCATTCTTCCCACGAGGCTTCCTTTGGGACGAGGGCTTTCACCAGCTACTGGTCCAGCGGTGGGATCCCCGCCTCACCCGGGATGCCCTAGGCCACTGGCTGGGGCTACTGAATGCCGATGGCTGGATTGGGCGGGAGCAGGTGCTGGGGGATGAGGCCCGAGCCCGAGTACCCCCAGAATTCCTGGTGCAACGAGCAGCCCATGCCAACCCCCCAACCCTGCTTTTGCCTGTAGCCCACATGCTAGAGGGTGGTGATCCTGCCAACTTAGCCTTTCTCCGCAGGGCCTTCCCTCGCCTGCGTGCCTGGTTCTCTTGGCTCCATGAGAGCCAGGCAGGGCCAGAGCCACTATCTTACCGCTGGCGGGGTCGGGACCCAGCCTTGCCAACCCTACTGAACCCCAAGACACTGCCTTCAGGGCTGGATGATTATCCTCGTGCTTCACACCCTTCAGCCACTGAACGACACCTGGACCTGCGATGCTGGGTGGCACTGGGTGCCCGTGTGCTTGTGCAGCTTGCAGAGCAGCTGGGAGAGGCTGAGGCAGCTGCGGAACTGCGCCCACTGGCTGCCTCACTGGGGGCAGAGGAAATCCTGGATGAGCTACACTGGGCCCCAGAGCTAGGAATCTTTGCAGACTTTGGGAACCACACAAAAGCAGTACAGCTGAAGCCTCAGCCCCCTCATGGGCTGGTGCGGGTGGTGGGCCGGCCCCACCCTCAATTGCAATATGTGGATGCCTTGGGCTATGTCAGTCTTTTTCCCTTGCTGCTGCGGTTGCTTGACCCCCACTCATCCCGCCTTGGGCCACTGCTGGATGTTCTCTCAGACAGCCGCCATCTCTGGAGCCCCTTTGGTTTGCGCTCCCTTGCAGCCTCCAGTTCCTTTTATGGCCAGCGGAATTCAGAACATGATCCTCCCTACTGGCGGGGTGCTGTATGGCTCAATGTCAACTATCTGGCCCTAGGGGCTCTCCACCACTATGGGCATCTGGAGGGTCCCCACCAAGCCCAGGCTGCCAAGCTCCACAGTGAGCTCCGTGCCAATGTGGTGGGCAATGTGTTGCGGCAGTACCAGGCCACAGGTTTCCTCTGGGAACAGTACAGTGATCGGGATGGGCGGGGCATGGGCTGCCGTCCCTTCCAGGGTTGGACCAGCCTTGTCTTACTGGCCATGGCTGAAGACTACTGAAGGGAGAGTGTGGGAGGGGAGCCAGACCCCTTGTGCCAGTCTAGACTAGATGGACCAGGTCTGTAGCTTCTGCCCCCAGCCCTCAGCTACCAGTGCTTCAAACCCTCATCTCAGGTGTCTACTATCATCCCACACAGCACTGGGGTGAATGTGAATTCAGAGTCTATTTTTCTAAATAAATTGAAAAACCATGAGAAACTATTGTTTTTGCTAGCTTTGCCTCACCAAAAGGTCTTGGCTCATCCAGGTCTTAGGGATGCTGTCTTCAGAGAAGGTGGGAAAAATGGCCAGTCAGGTCAAGTGCAATGAAGTGAGTTGAGCACTAGTCCACCCAAATCCACAAGCAGCTGGTTCACATCTCTTTAATGAGATCAAAGGCTCCTGTGTATGTCAGTGGGGGTAGAGCTAGCACAGTCCCCCAAACACAGTCCCTCTCCTCAGGACTCAAGCCCTTTCAGGCAGATTCCAAGAGGGCAGGGAGAGGCCAAGGAGAACTCAAAGGAGCTGGGACCAAGGGTCTTTCTAGTGGGCAAGTAATCCACCCACCCTCCTAAAACTGCTTATGGGATGTCTCCTTCACTGGAAGCTGACCCCACAGAAGAAACTTGGGGTATGGGACCTAGGGGCAGTGTACAAGGGGAGTGGTCCCCCCGATCTGGCCGGGTGGCACTAGCCCTAGCCTCCTTGACTAGCTCACCCTCACTGGAGTCAGGACAAGGGCAGAGCTCAATACCCGAGTCACCAGTCAGGCGGCAATAGCGGCAGGCCAGGGGTGTGGGGGCAGGGCTCACCCCTGCCCCAGGCTCACCCTCCTGATGAGGGAGGGCACTCTGGTGGGAGGAAACACCTTCCACATTTGTTCCCTCACAGTGGGCAGGGCAGCTAGAAGTGGAAGAGCAGCAGGTACATTCCCTGGAAGCAGTCAAGGGGCAGCCTGGGACCGCAGTGTAAGGAGGTGGTGGTGTGCCTGGGCGGTGAACCACATCCTCATAGGCTGGGGGTTTGAAGGCGCTGAAGAGGCCTGCAGGAAAGAATGGCATGGTTGGTTGAATGCAACCAGGGATGAGGTGGTAGTCTCTTTACTATTAGGGAAAACTTTGCTTTGAAATATCTGAAAACAATATGAGGGTGATTCAGGGTCCTCATTTGGGAGGGGCCACTGGTAGTGAGCACAGAGCCTCAAGTCACTCACGAAGGTCAAGCAGTGAACCAGCAGGAACAGGGCCAGCCCCATGGCATGCCCCATGGTAGGCCAGTAAGTTGATCTCACGCTGCCGCTGCTGCTGCTGCAGTCGGAGTTTAGCTCGTCGATGACGGAAGGCGCAACAGCAGCTAAAGAGGATGAGGACTGTCCAGAGAAGCCAGAACCCTGTAGGGGGTGAAGAGGGAGAGTCTTAGATACCTCCCATGCAGAGAAGGGTCCCTGAAGGCTAAAATTCTGAGGTCCAAGGGATGCTGGACAGAAGGATCCAAGAACAGCCCTCTTGGAGACTCACACCAGAGCTCATAGTAGTAGGTGCAGCAGCCAGTCTCTCCACAGCAGTGGCCACTCTCACAGAGGTAGGGCTGGTTGTTCACTCCTGGGCAAAGCTCTCGAAGCTGGGAGCAAGGAGGAACTTAGAACCAAGGGAGATTCTAGCCCAAGGCACTGTCCACTCCCATCCTCAGCCCCTGCATGCACATCCACAAACCCACCCTGTGAACCAAGTTTAGTGCAGATCTACAGGGAGGGGGAAGAGTGATGCTGAGAGGGCTGTTCAAATATTTGAAGGGCAGTCAACATGCAAGAGGGTTTGGAATAGCAAAAACAGTCCAGAGAACAAGATGACAGTGTAGATGTACAGAGAGGCAGATTTCAGCTCTGCATATGGGTTGGCCCCCAAGGTATATTCAGTCGGCAAAGAGTTTGGGCAGAAGACAGACTGAGCTATCTCAAAGTCTCAGACAATGGGTTAAGGGTTTAAAGTAATTTCTGAAGCTTAAATGCTTTCATCATCCCCATGGTCTGGCACTCCCCATCCCCAAGGTGGGTCTTTCCAACCCTGGGTCTCAGACTTCCTAGGGTAGAGCAGGGGCAGTGTGAGACCCAGAACAGTGCTCCCAACCAGATGGGATTGCTGTGGATGATAAAGGATGGCATCCAGGGCGTGAGTCTGGGATCCAGCTCTTCTCCAAATTGCTCCCTCAAGAGAAGACGCTGCTGGACTCTGCAGTGATAATAGGCACACAGAAAAAAAAAATCATCACAAATAACTGTTACAAGACAGAGAGGGAGCCTCCTGGAGCCTCACTAAGCCTCTGTTCACTGGAGAGCCACTGCAAGCTCCCACCGCAGCCATGGGATGAGTCTATGAGGCTGCAGGCAAAATCAACTGTATCTACGTTACAAAGTTTAAACAAAGAGTGGAAGGGACATATTCAGGAACTTCACAGTACCTTTGGCTCCGTGAGTTCCTCCCGCCCCCACCCCCCAAAAAAAAGAAGGGACATGAAGGAGGAAAGGGATATAGATGGCTGTCGTGGTACGCTTTTGGAGCTGTTAGGATACCTGCTGTTGCGGCATCCGAAGTGCCCCCCAGGCCTCCTCGCTGCCGTTCCCGCCGCTGTCCTGAGCCATGCCTCCACCTACAGCCCCCTGAAGACTACAGCCTCCTCTATCGCCAGCTGCCCCGCCCCTGCCACCTCTGCCGCCACTGCCATGGTCCCTGCCCGGCCCATCTTTGCGGCTGCCACCATCACTCGGTGGCCGGAGCTCCCATCCGGGAAGAGCTCTGCCAACTAGGTCCCCGGTTGCTCCGTCCTACCAATCAGCATGGGCCTCAGAAGATGGGCCAATAGGAAAGGATTGGAGGTTTCTCCAGGTGACCAATCCACAGCAATGCCTCTGCCACTCTCCCAGACAACAAGAACTGTTCTCAGACAAAAGAGTGGAGTAAGGTTCGACCCACAGCCCTGACTGGCAGCAACGATAGCCAACAGGAACAACAGAACGGGCTTCGGGTTGTCAACCAATGAACGGCCACCTAGGAGAGCAAAATTCCTGCTGATTGGCTTGAGCCCTGTTTCCGGGGTTTACGACAAATGCCGGACCTCTCCAGGTAATCCTGCTGGAAGAGGCGGGGTCCCAAAAGTCTGCGGGAGTCTGAGCCCGAGTGGCCAGCTGTCCCAGGGTCTGGTGGACGTTTTCTAAGCATCAACGCAAACTACAATGCAGGCGAGATGTGTGCACCGGAAATTGGCTTTCCATACCCCATTCTCCCAATTCTGTACAAGTCGAGTAACTGGATGAAATTTAATAGGGTGGGGAAGACAATCTGGACAGGGGAGAGGGCGCAGAATCCGGGTTAAGGGTTTTAAGTAGCCAAAAGGGGAGACCCAGGGCCTTCGGGTCCCCCCAGCCGCATCTGCAAGTTGATGCGGTAGCACTGAAGGCTGCAGAGCGCCTGGCCTGTGCGGGAGCAGGCGTAGCGGCGCGGGTGCGGGCAGCCAGGTACTGAGCATCGCAGAGGGGGGCCAGATGGAGGTGGCCTCTGAGACACTGTTACTGGGGTGGGGATGCCAGGTGGGAAGGAAAGGGTGGAACCCTGTGCCCCGCTGCAGTAGCGCACCATGGGGGTTGGGACCGCAGCCCGCCCTCCCCGCCGCTCCCCCCTTGCAGCCCCCCGTCCTCCTCGCCCACTGGGCGCTGCAGTCTTGGTGAGGCGCTCTATAGTCTGGTTCTTGTGCTCTTCTGCCCGCCGAGCTGCCTGCAACCGCCTCTTACGCGCTCTCTCCTCGCGCTTCAACAGCATTTCCTCGGTGAGGGCAGGGGCAGGACAGACCCCAGCCACGGGCAATGGCAACATCGGGGAAGGCTGACTCTGCGCCTTCTGAAGCAGAGCTCGCTGGGGAGAGAGAGGGATGGTGTCAGAAAATGGAGAGGTGAGGTCCGTGGGGAGGCAGAAGAGGACAGGAAGAAAGCAAAGGTCTTAAAGAGCACAGGCCTTGGGAGAAGGGGTGGAATGAGCACCCTCTCCAGGAGTCCTTAATATTGCTTCCTTCCAGGTCTTCAGACTTTCAGCTTTAGATCATTGACTATCAAAGGGAAAATTATTAGTAACGTCACCTACCTGCCCTGCTTACTAAACTCTTTGAATCACATTTCTGGGGATTTTTTTGAGAAGCTCCTCTAGTCCTGGAAATGTTTCCTTTTCAGAGAGGTCTTTCCTCCCTATCTACTGCTATCTCTTTATCACGACTTTCTGTTTTTATCACCCTATTTTTGTTATACACATAACAGCTTTTCAAAATTATTTACTTATTTACTGCCCCCCCAACCCACACATGAATACCAGCTCCTTGAGAAAAGAAATATAGTTTGTCTTTTCTCCATCACTGATTGGCCATTGCCCAGCAAAGTTTTGGGGACATGGAAGGTTCTCTAAATATTTGGTAACAATAAAAAATGAACCAACCTACCTGTCGAGCAGTGAGCAGCCGTTCATTGATCTCCTTCTTGAGATCTCCATTGTCATCCAGCTCCCCTTTCTCCAGGGCATCCAGCCACCTCTGTTCCTCCTCTTCCTCCTGACCCCCTAAGTCTCCCGACAGGTCTCGAAGTGGGGAGGGGGACAAATTACTGTCTTCATCTGGAGAGAGAAAAGTAAAATTGTTCAGGTGGGGCACCCAAATTTGGCCAAGTTAATACTGGGACACTCAAAATTCTCACCCTTGTCAGAAGCAACCTTCTCCCCTTAATCAGGTATAATGAGAAACCCGGTTTCCCCACCTCCAGATCCTTCTCACCTAGCCAGGCTCGGTACTGCTCAAGGGGGACCCCTTCCATAGGTTCCTCTTCATTGTCCACAACCATAAGGGGAGAGGGTGACCGAGTTCCCTCAGGGATCACAGTGAAAGTGGGAACACTGTGGAGAAACACCACCACTCCGTAAGTTGAACAAGCGTCTTCCTTCTGCTCAGTAGCTAGCTACATCTAACCTTGCCCACACCCTCTAGGGTTCTTGCTGCCTTAATCTGGGACCTAAAGTCCCAGTGTCTATTCTCTGTCTTCTGAAAAGCCCAGTCAGCTTCTCCTATCTCTGCTTGCTGCTAAAGTCCCCCAAGTAAAACCTTGGCTCTATTGGCCTCACCTCTTGGTGCCCAAGACCTGGCCACCCAGCTTGATTTTGAGTTTGAGCTGGGGTTTGGCAGGAGATGGCTGCGTGGGTCCAGGTTCCTCTTCCTGATGGTGTTTTTTCTTGTGTTTCTTCTTGTGCTTCTTGTGCTTCTTCTTGTGTACTCCGTGGCCGTGGGCACCCGCCAGACTCAACTCTAGTGCTTCCCCTGTGGAGGGAAAGCCTGTCAACGATGTAAGGCAGGAGCCGGGCAGTGGAGAGCCCTCAACAACGGAATACCCCTAAGGGGTCCCACACTTCCCCGGTACGCGTTGTTACCATAGCAACAGGCCCGCCCTTTTTTTTTTTCCTCCCACCTGTGGCGAAATACCTTAGAAGCTCTGAAGAGCAAGAAAGGAGCCCCCTTTCTGCAAACGCCTAAGTTGCTTTATCAGCTCTCGCTTACCCGGCTCAGGGGCCTCCATAGCTCCAGAGGTGCTCCCGCGCCGCCACAGCTTACTCATGGATTCCTGCTAGGAAAGGTGGCTGGAAACGGTTGGGGCGCAAGCAGACATGCCTTTTCCGCCCTGCGGAAGAAGTAATGCCAGCGATGTAACCCGCCACTTCCGGTCGATAGCAACCATGTTTGTGCGGGGCACACTTTGAAGCTAAAATCCTCCCTGAGAAACAACGATACTTCCAACAAAAGTTCCGGACGCTCAATCTGGTTCAACTCGAAAGGGCAGCTTTCCCGCCTGTCCTTCCACACTATGTTCCCGAGTCCAGCGAGGGCTATTTAATTATTACACTCAAGCATCGGGAGCGTATACTCCTGGCCAAATTCGGGGCTAAGCAACAAGCATACATGGATGAATGTGAACACTTTCCTTTTCCGTTGAGGAGCTCACATTTCGGTGGAGTACATAAATTATATGGCCAGCAAAAGGGCTGAAGTGCTTAACAGCACAAGTGCACTAGAAGCAGGGCAAATAGTAGGTTTAAGCCTATATTCTTATCAGTAGAGAAATGAATAAATAAATGATGGTGCATCTGTCCAATATGGAGCACCATGTTGCTAACGAAAGAGTAATAAGTAATTGATATGACTGACATGGAATGTAGATCCTAGTAGGTAATAAATAGCATTGGAAACAATCTAAGTGTTCTCTAATGAAACACAAAACTAATTTGGTTTATGGATTTGGAACATCCATACAAGGGGAAGCTGTATTACTATTAAATGAAATGAGGCCCCAGAAGGCCACCCAAGAAGCTGGTGGCATCTGATTGGATTCTGATTGGTGGCTGGAGAACAAGGGTGAAGGGAGACTTGTTTTTCATAAAATACCCTCCTGTGTCTATTGAACTTTGTATAAAATGTGCATATTTAACCTAATTTTAAGGAAAAAAACAAAAACTCAGCCCCAACTGGTGTGGCTCTGTGGATTGAATTCTGTCCTGCAACTAAAATGTCTCAGGTTCAATTCCCCCTCAGGGTACATGCCTGGTTTGAGGGCCAGATTCTCGTTGGGGGCATGGGAGATACAATGGCTGTATCTCTTGCATATTGATGTTTCTCTCCTTTCTCTCTCCTTTCCCATCTCTCTAAAATAAATAAATAAAATTTTTAAAAAAGCAGAACAAGGTAGCTCTGAACTGATATATGAAATAATCAAGTTTCAAGATTATGTCATCCCATTTTAAAAGGCATAATATGGTATTATATATATTCATAGAAAAAAATTGAATGTGTGCTATACCCGTTAATGGTGGTTATCCTTAGAAGTTGAGGTTGGAGAGCTTTCACTATTGAGATCTGTAATGACCTTTCTTAAAGAGGTATATATCATGTTTATAATTAGAAAAAAGCACCATCTATATACATATATTTAAATATATATAAGATATATATCTGAACAAGGTAGCAGCAGTGAACAAAGAAAGAACTGATTCAAAAGATATTTCACTGATAAAATTAAAAGGAATCAGTGCCAATCAATATATGGCAATTTAGTCAGGAAGAAGTCAATGTAATATAGTGATTAATATTAAGAGAATGGACTTTGAGGTAAGACAAGCCTATTTTCAAATCCCAGTTCTATCATTTATTAGCTAGGTAACCTTGGTCTCAGGGTTATTTAAGCTCTCTGAACCTCGGATTCCAGCTTTGTAAGATGGAATGAAGTAGGATTTACTTTATAGGGCTCTTTCAAGGAGTAAAGCAAATCAAGAATGCGAAGTACCTAGGGTAGTATCTGGCACATAGTAGATGTTCAATAAGCAAACAACAACAATAATAGCAAACAACTTCTACATTTCTAGCCCAAATATTTAGAGGAAACAAGATGATTTATTTATTCATTTATTTACAAATCCATTTTATTTATTTACTTTTCAATAAGTATAAGTCCCTTAGGGGTACAGCATTACACGGATTCTGTGTCCAATGGCAAGAGATGTGCTTATGTGTACAAAGCAAAGAACAACACAGTGACTTTTGGTGGCAAACCAAACAAAACCAGAGTACTCTGAGGAAGGGTAACTCGTGCTCATGGAAACACTGGCATGGTTCATGCTAAATTCTGAAACGAGTTGCTTTAAATCAAGAGAACATAGGGAGAGAAGCAAGTAAGAAGAGAATTATTTAGTGTTGCCTAAGGTGAATTTGCAATGCGTGTGAGAATGCCTGAATAAGAGAGGAGAATCCAGTGCAGAAGGTATGAGTGATGGGAGACCTCAGCATAATAATGGGGATCCCTAAAAGGATGGAAACATACAAGATACTCCAGAATGAGCAAATAGATGAAGATGAAAG